GATGACCACCTGTGTAACCTCATTGGCTGTCCTCCAACAGAAAAACAACCCCACCAGCAGCAACAAAGCACCACCAACCTCCAACAATGGCATAATCACTGAAACCCCAATGTGTAGGGTAATTATCTTACTATTATTTTCTTTCTTTTTTTGGCCAAGCGTCCGTTTGGCAAGCCAAAATGTAAATGCTTTTGATTCTGCTCCAACATAGGGAATCCACAAATAGACCAAAGGCAAAGTCTGTTTTAGAAAGACACGAGACAAGCTAAAGCATAACTCATCTCAAGTTTGGAGGTTTACAAAGCCATATAACTATAATAAGCGTATGAATACCCAAGGCCAGACATGACACACACCGTCACTCTGTGGAAAAGCTGTTAACACAAGTTTGAACTTCACAACTTGCAAGAAGAACCAAAGGTGTTACAGATATTTTTCAAATAACTGTAAGATAAGATTGCTACCTAAGATCCTTACAAAGTATTGAGTGAGTCTTTCTTTATGTGCTTTCTTTTGTTGCCAAAATTAGGTCATTGTGTGTATAAAAGAAGGACTAAACTAGGGTTATGCATTTTGCCATAAATGTAACACTCCTTCCTTTCTTATAATATGGCCATTTGCAATGATTTTTTTTTTTAACCGCTTAACGGTTTCTGTAGCAATGGGGACAACAACACAACTAAAACTCAAAGACAATATAATTTGCATGTCTATAGTCTTCATAATTGTTTTTCTAATAATCCAAACAATGATGTGAGAACGTGTTCACCCCAAAGTGTTGCTGCTGTCCCCATTCCTCAGAGACACAGGGGTCCGGAGCAGAGGGGTCACGACACAGAGCGTTTGCATGGGAAAAGGAGACTAATCTAAATGGAGTAACTAAAGAGACATTCCAGATGATCTGAGCTTGAAGAATATTGTTCTGTGTTTGTTTTTTATGTAGCAAACAAATATTAGATTGATGCTAGTTAAACAACTTTTTGGTTAAATATTTAGAAATAACACAGTGTAAGACAATACGATCAAACAATAATAAATATTCTGCAAAGGCTAAAATCCCAAAGTTCCCCCAAGAGGGAGTTTCTCTCCCTCACACCCAAAAAACAGTCAAAACGTTGACTCTAAGACGAGTGAACTGGGAAAGCCATCTCCTTTCCAGCTATAAGGACTCATTCCTGCAATGCACTTTTGATATGCACATACAGTAGGTCGTTTGGATCTAACACTGTAATTTGGTCCTTTAGCTTTAGCTCAAGGGTATCGTAGTGCCAGGCTGTAGTATAAAAAAACTGTGCTAAAACAGTATTGCTTGGCTTTCAGTCAAGGGGAAGCAGACCGAGCAGACAAAAGGAAAAGAACAAAAGAGAGAGAGATGAAACAACGGGAGAACAGAAACACATAAACAGAGAAGAACAAGTGAAAGGAAGTGAAAAGAGGGAGACAGAGGCTCTGAATAATTGAGCGTGTCATTCTCTGAGAACTCAATATCCTTATCAACTCCTCTTTAAGAACATGACACCGAACCCGCGTCTCTAATTGCTGATCTTTGCTTTTCTCTGCAGATTTTGCTTACAAAGACCTTTGTGAAATCTAAGCTGGAGAAACAGTCTCGACTCGGGTGGCAGGAAGATGGATGAATCACAGATATACACACTAACTGGCACTTAACTCACACGTACACACTCACAAACATGGCCTAGAATAGCTTTAGAATAACTTTCAATTAATTTACCGCTTACTAAAGCATCAAAATGTCAAAACAACTTAGTTTGCAAAAAAAATGATGCAGGCCAGGGACTTTGGTAACTCTCTTGAAACGAATTGAAACCCATTCAAAATGCAGCATTAAATGCCATATCAAGGACTATCTGAACAACGTAAAAGTAAAGAAGAAACAATATAATGCGTGAACTTTCTTAGAGCACAACAAAACACTTGTTCTAAGTAACGGATAATGTGGGAAGAGGGGGTCATTAATGAAAATGAAACACCGGGACGATCATGGAGCCCGACGGCCAACCAACAGCTGGAGATGCGGCAACAGTGGATTTTATTTTCATTAACCAGTCTTTAAACCAGAACCCATACAGTGTTTACTTGCTTTTGATCCTTTTGATTTCTCTGACGTCGCTCTGTCTGTTGACCTCTTTCCTTCTCTTGCGTTGTTGTTTTTTTCTTTACTGGGAAAGTTTAGCTATCATGAATCAAAAGCTTCAAGCTCTCCACAAATATAAAAGTGAATATTCAAAAAGTATTCCAGATTGTTTCTGATGAATGAAAACTAATGTTTGTTATCCACAGCAGGCATTAAGTTGACCGAACTTCTTTCTGCGGATTGATATGACTGCAGTAATATAGTCCCATGATCCAAAGCCACGGTGTGTTAGCGAGTATTAACAACCTCTGAAATGTCTGAATTGACCAATCATAATCGAGTACTTACCTAAGTAACTATATAAAAAGACAAGAAAAGACAAAATATAATAAAAAGGGATTTTTTTCTTTTAAAATGAGCTCAAACTTAAAACACATGTAAGATTTTGCGATATTAGCACATACAATTTCCAAAGTTAAAATAGTATAAACACCATAAATATGGTAGCTCAAGCTTCTTAAATGGCTGTATTATTTAAGGATTGTTTCAGTCACGTATGCCAGTAAATATTGACTTTCCGCTGCAGCTCTACAGTTTCATTAAACTAATTTGGAGAAAATAAAGGCCAACAGCAAAATGAGGCGAACATTGTTTCATTCTTCAAATACTTGTTATCATATCTAAACCTAATAATGATTTCAATCTTTAACATTTACAATTCTACACATTTATCCTCAATGAATTTCTATCTGGTCTAAGCGGTGTTAATAGATTTTATAATAGCAGGAAGTAAGTGGTAAAACAGCCTCCAGAGACTCGGCTAGTCCCACACCAGTGTTCTCGGTTTGTACAGTATTCGACAGGTGGCCCATTTAGCTGGGAACACTGCTGAGCAAAGCTTATTGGACGTGGGGAATAATGATGGTGCTGCAGTAACGTCGAAAAATACCCAGAGAAGACTGGAGTGCCTTTTCAAGGGAATACTTTAAGACACAAATTGGCTTACTAAGATCTGCAGTCCCCCCCACTCTATCATAAATGACATACTCCCAAACAATGTGTACACACAAACCCTGCGTACAATGAGAAAGCAGTGGTTGTGGCTGCATGTCCTCCCTGGAGGCTGAGGCTAAGAACAATAGAAAGACAAAATGTTGCTGAGCACTCAGTATTCAGAGAACTGTGCCGCATTAAAATGAGAATTTATTTTCCACTTCTCACATTTGTTGTAAAAGTTTATCCTCGAGTTTGTCGTCAGAATCAAGAAAATAATATTTTAATATCATAATATATTTAATAATAATTGATTTGCTAAATGTTTTGAATTAAATTAAAGATCAAATAAATGAATACAAAATAAAATAAAGATATTTATATAAACATAAGACATCATGTGCCTGCAGTGGTTAGTGCTTCTCATAGCTATACATATGTTTTTATTATATTTATTTAAAATTCTCATATTTTAGGCAAAATAATAAAGATTACAAAAAAAAGATATAAATATATTAAATATTCATACAAACATCAAAATAAAATACTAAATATTTATATAAACATAAAATGTAATGTGCCTGTGGTTCTTAATTTGTCATATCTATAAATATTTTACTTTTTATAAACACTTCACATACTGTAAGTACTGAAGTGTTTTCTTCATACTCTTTACTTCAGAACTGCTGCCCCTCACTAAACCCTTATATCACCCTCTAGTCTCTTTTAGCTAAAAGACCCAAGTTCTAATGCCTTTGTTCATCGCCTGTGATTCACAAACATCAGAGAAAGTAAAAAGAGTGGTGACAGTTGAGTTTTCGAATCCTCACACACCACAGAGCCTCTCTTCTGCTGACAGCGCTGTCGGCTGAAGAGTCAATCCCAGCGGACGGCAACGGTCGTTCCAGCGTCTGGTTCAATAGCAGTTTAGCAGCCTTCATTGACAGTCTGCATCTGAGCTGAGAACAGCCGAGCTGACAACAGACACGAGTCAGGCTGTCTTACTCTACGCTGCCGCCCGGCATTAGGCTGCCCTCCGGTAGATTTGTGGTTAGGTCATTTTTAGAATTAGTTTGTAAATGTTTAGCCTCTGTGCAATGACATAACTAAGAAAAAGTGCAGGAATTTGGTGGAAAAAAAGTACTCGGTCGTCTCCAATGATGAATCAACTTTTCAGAATGCAGCCCTTTATGTCATACTAGTCTATTAAATACAGTGTAATGTAATACTAATATACCCCTCTATATATTGTAATATACATATTATATATTGTTCCATTACCATTGCACAGTTTAACTTTTACTTCTTATGTTTATAAAAAATGTTTTTAGCAGTTTTATTTGAACTTTTTGGACATCTTACTCTAACTTCGTATTTTATATTAAATGTTTTATTTTATTGCATTTTTTGAGAAATTCGTACTTTAACTTCTTACGTTTATATTATTCAGTTTTTTGTTTTACTTTTATTTCATTTAGAAATGGAACAACTGTCACAAAAAACCTAATTCCCCCAGGATAAATAAAGTATTGTGATTCTAATCAAATCCAAATGACGTGATGTTAGTATAAAAAACTGAAAAGCAATTTTTCCGACAATAAACAAATATTACATTTTTTATAGTGTTTGACCAGTACATTTAAGTGTCAAAATCCTGGTTCAGGTTCCCTGCTGGGTTTTCCCACAAAATATATATATAAGTGTGGTGCATCATAACCATTAAATGTGATGTTTTATTCTCTTTGGGTTTTTGTATGTGTTTAAAAACCAGCAGCCACAAACACTGCTGCAATAAGTGCACACAATACTAACACTGCAGGGGTGGAAACCAAACTGACATTGACTGTCATTATTTTTCTCTTTAGGGAGCAGTTATGTGTGTAAAGGGACAGACGGATGATGTTTCTCTTACCAGGTGACACTGCCAGCTGAAAATGATGCAGCTTGTCCTCATCTGGGAAATTGGCTTTGCATGTACCTGAACAAAAACAAATGACAGGAGTTTAGTAAGTCTGGTCAAGGGTTAAAGCCAGCAGTAGCTCCATGAAGGTCTACCATTACTTTTCTCTGTGACAATAACATCAATAATTTATTGTATTTTTATTAAAGTCCATCTCGAGCAACATTTTTCATTCTGTCATCCCATCTAGCAGGATTAATGCCTGGGGTCTCCATGTGGCACCACATCCCCCCCTGCTGTTCAAACACATGTACCGCACCCTAGACAAATGACATCATGTGCTAGAATTCTTTTTTTACTAAATCAACATTACATCAGCTCTTTTCACTGAATCGACAGTTTAAAATGATACTTTGGATACATAAGGCTACCACATATAGTGAGACTTCTATAACGTGTGGTATAAATGTAAAGGAACAACCTAGATGAAATCAACTTTGTCCTTTTCATTTAAAATAACAGACTATAGAATACCTTAACTGACCAATCGGAATAGAGTTTTCAACAAGGCTATTGAGTAGATGTATGCATGTTCCACGCCCCAAGTTTGTGTTTATTTGTTTGATTACAGTTAATCAGAGTTGCTCTTCTTCTGCACTACTTCTGCAGGTTGATGGCATTAAAAGGGTTTTAAAGGTTGAAAACATTAGACCCTCCAGAAAAACGTGATTCTGCGATCGCAGAATTTACCGCATAATCAGCAAAATGGCGCAGATTTCTAAAAGGGCGCAAATTTATCAAAAGGCCGCATAACCCCCGCATTTTTCCACACAAAGTTGAGAAAAAAAAAAGTTAACTCGTCTTGACGTGACGTCATCAGCTCGCGCATCACAGAATGTAAACAACACTGTATAGAGTGAACGTGTGGAGCTCACACGATAGAGAAAACACCAAGATGAAAATATCTAATCCATCTCATTTACCGACGAACATTTCTACTAAAGACCGGGCAAAAAGTGGGGGGAAACTATTCTGCACCCCGTGCAACTGTGTGTTGGAGCATAAGAGAAAATCGACGGTGACGACCCACTTTGATTCATTCAAACATTCGAAAATGCTTTCTTCTGCTGCGGACAGAAAGCCAAACAACTCACGTTCACGAGGCATCAACCTCCAAAACCCTTTACGTAGGGCTACAAGAAACGAGGTGAGTAGCCTACAATATTGAAGCTGGTCAGATAACGAACGAGTAAATGAGAACAGAATGAGGCGGAGAAGTGTGTGTGTGTGTGTGTGTGTGTGTGTGTGCGCGTGAGATTAAAATAGCCCAATTACTTTTACAATAAATAAACATTGAATGTGTTTAATTGAATAGTAAAGGGGTTTAACATTAGTGGCAGGTTGTGTGTGAGAGAGAATAAATAAGACAGCCCTAAATTTTAAGTTGTGGGGTGTACATTGATCGTACAGTCCCAATTACCTGTTGTTTTCTTTCACCTTGAGTGCGACGACACTGTTTTGTTGTAGACACCAAAAATCTCAGCTAATAAAGAGTAAACCCAACAAAAAAATTGTAATTTTACGTGTCGATAAAAGTCCTAGGCGGCCGCGGCAGTTTGTGTGTTTAGATTGAACGGAACAAATTGATCATTCTTAGAACAGGTATTGTCCGTAGAAGCATGGCTACTAAACTCGCGAACACCTGCTTACCGACGTTGATCTGGGAGGTCTTTTTGCGTCTAAGACGCTAGCGTCTTAAATGGCGTATTAGTCGTTTTACCGCGTCTAAAGAGTTCCGGCGTATCAAATAGTTTTCTGGCCGTATTAGGGGCGATAAAAAGGTGGGTTTTAACTCCCTTTTTTTTTTTCAATTGAGCGAACTGCACTGCAGTACGTCGAGCCGCGTAGTGTCTTACCATTTGTGCATATTCCGCACACCTGAGTGTGCTATCTCTTTTGGCTACTTGTTAGATTAGGTAGAGTAAATGGGTGCTTTAAAGATGATTTCTGCCCGTTTTTCACCCCTTGTAAGACGGGCACGTGACACACAATCTCGTATTCTCTTTTAGCTTGCCCGGCTGGGAACGAAAGTTGGTAAGCGTGAGCGAACGACGACGACGCCTGTTCTTTCGGTTTGCTGAGTTCAAGTGCCTCCGTAGTTGGAGGTTTTGGGAAAGCTCCCGATGTTCTTTGCTTCACTCATCGGATGTTCTAACTTCGACCGGTCTATTGCTTGCTCATTTACTTTTGTCTTACTCCGCCTCTTCACACACACCCCCCCCCCCTAAGTTTATCGGGTTAACGAAAAGGTTATTCATTTGTAACTTAAACAAATTAACTTATCGTTTCCACAAATTGCAATCACCGTCCAACACACACTCTCTCTTATTTATTCTGTCGGGTTATAAAATTTTTTAACAATAAGAAAAAAGGGCGTATAAATCGTATAAAGGCGTATAAAGTGTTGAAGGGCGTTAAAGTGGCGTATTTTAGTGTATTTTTGGGACGTACAAATTAGCGTATTAGTTCCTAAAATCGGGCGTATTAGTTCCTTAAATCGGGCGTATTAGTTCCTTAAATCGTGCGTGTTAGTTCCTTAAATCGGGCGTATTAGTTCCTAAAATCGTGCGTATTAGTTCCTAAACAGGAGCGCAAAAAGACCTCCCAGATTTTGTATATATAAATGGTTACGAAAAGTCTCAACTAAATTGTGGACGTGGAGAACATCGTAGTTGGCATAAATGTTATGTTTCGCACAGTAACGCACAACATTTCGTGAAACTTAACGGACACACACGATATGTTTATTTGATTGGAATTTACTTAGTAATGTTATGAAGGCAACCAAAAATTTCGAGAATTACCAAAACCAGGATCGATAAATAGTTTAATCGAAAATTGGATACTTGGTAGATCTTGACAGTCCAGATAATTATGAAAGTAATATGGCATTCAATTTCAACATGGCGTGAAACACAATGAACACATGACTTCTCCTAATCCCGGGGTACACTACCAAAACCTCTAGACTGGTGTAAATTTAATCTTTTTTAGACTTAAGGCTGATATTAGAGTCTTAACACTGTAAAAAAAATTACAAAAAAATTCATATACGAATTGTGCGGGAAAGGGAGTATAAGAGAAGAGTAGTGAAAAGTACACTGTGGTAGGCCTTACTGGCCTTGGTTTGTCGGGCTCTTCATAAAAATCTCGTACTAATGTCGCAAATCTTACACAATGTATTTTCCACCTTCTTTATACTCTCTTTTCCGCACCAATCCCGTATCAACTACACTGTTTCTTGGTTGGAGCAATTTACGTTGTTGACCTGTAACTCTGCTCGCTCGGGCCGACCGCCCCTCCTCGGTCGGTCTCCTATATATTGTCGTGCCTCCTCTCTAGCGTGAGAAGTAAGGGATTACTCGCTCGCCTAGTGTCGACAAACAGACTGACTTGGTTGTAGTCGAACACTGGTTGGGGGCACGGAAAAATTATTTCATGGTTAACTTGAAAGTGCTCTGAGGTAAATCAGAGGAAAATTTCGAAAGAGAGGACTGCCCTCTTATTGCTGTGTCAAATGTTAAACCAACCCGAGGGCTGCACTAGGGGACTGGCTCCTCTCTTTTGGTGGCCGACAAAGGACCTCTGCGAACGGATTGGGTGAGGTCTTTTGCCCGCCCGTTTTTAGGAACTAATACGCCGTTTAAGGAACTTATACGCCCGATTTTAGGAATTAATACGCTAATTTGTACGCCCAATACACTACAAACGTCACTTTTGACGCCCTTAACGCTTTATACGCCCTTTTTAAGCTAAAAAA